GGCTCTCTGGCCTGTCCCTATGCCCAGGGCACTCCTTGGCTAAAGACATTTCCAGACTCATTTTACAGATGAGAAAACAGAGGCTCAGGAGGGGAGGTGACAGCCCAAGTCACACTCCAGAGGCCGCAGGGCAGGATTTGAGACTCCCCTCGGTACCGCTGCACAGGCCGTGGCCGGTTCCAGCTGCGGGTCCCCTACTCTGGCTGTGCCCAGGCCCCAGAGAGGAGATTCTGACGTCACTGGTCTGAGGTGGTGCCTGGTATTTTTTTAAAGCTCTGCAGAGGCTCCTTGCATGTTGTTAGGATGGGAGAACACACAGCTCTGTTGAAAGCTTAAACTCAGCAGGGAACTGCAAGTCCAAGAGCAGAAACCGCTGCCGAGCTCACCATGGGAGCTTCTCCCTGTGGGAACTCTGAGCAGGTGCCCCTTGCCGAGCCAGGCCACACGTTCTCTGGGAAGATCCCTGCTGAGTTTGAACTTGGCTCTCTGGGGAGATGAGCTGATTTCAGGGCAGCCCCACCTCTGGCTTCTGGCCTTCAGGCCATACCCCACTCAAGGGTCTTGGGTCTCGGTGTAGTGAGGCTTTCGAATCCCCTGGCTGGCAGAGTCTCCTGGCATTTCAGATCAGGGCCCCCTCTGCTCTGACAACCGCCAATCAGGCCACGTTTCCACTCTAGCCCCGATGGGGGTGTGGCAGCCGCATTCTCTCTGCCTCTTGCTCTCCTCCTTATGTTGTGAAGGTTATAAAATGAAGACCCAGTGAAGGCTGACAGATTGAAAGCAGAGAGTTTCTGGATGCTTAATGCAAATTACCTACTGTCTTGGCACATGCAATATGCAGATTGTCTCCCTCCTTGCCCTGGTGTTGCCGGGCTTTGGGGGTGGGGTGGGGGTGGGGGTAGGGGTGGGTGGAGAAAAGCCCCCTCCTCTGAGATGGTGAGTTGTTAGCACTGAATATCAAATATTATCAAGACGGCTTTTAACATGTCATGCTCTGCTTCCCGACATGGAATCAATCAGCGGGAAGGGAGGTTTCTATAGGGAAAAAGCGCTTTAGGAAAGGAAGGTTAATAGCCACGCATGCTAGCCTCCCCGTTGGCCCCTTCCCCCTTTTAAAGCAGCAAAAGGGAAACCACATTAAAAGTACACTTGATCACGTGACCTCCCGTGACGTGTAAGGCAGGAGACACAGAAAGAGGAAGGGGAATTCCCAGAAAGGTAATGTCCTGGTGGCTCTGGGTCACGTCTGTCCCCTCCTGCTCACTGTACCTCACTGGGCGGTACCTGACTCCCTGTTCTCAGGCAGAATGGCCTGAGCTGAATCCCAGACAGAGGGACCCTCTCTGCAGCTCCCCATAGATGGGGCCTGGGTGGTGGTCCCTGGCCCGCTCAGGCGGTGGAGAGAGACCTGTATCCCCAGGAAGGCTGGGTCAGGGGAAGTGCCAGAGAGAAGAAAGGGTTGGTATGGGGTGGGATAAGTCAGACCCAGCATGGGGCTCCACGAGACAGGGGCAGGCAGGATGGCCACACTGGCCACTGGGAAGCAGGATGCTGGCTCCTGGAAAGCTGTCCTCCTCCAGCTACCCCAGAAGCCCTGAGGCTGCCCCGTGAAACACAGGCCGGGGACTGCTTTCCCTCCGACAGGACTGCCTGCAGCGCAGCCTGTGTGAGGATCGGCCTGCAGAGCTGAGGCTGGGAGTGGCCGTTGCAGAAACCCCAGGCCCACTCCAATGCTGACCTAGCCCTCGTACAAGATGTTTACCCTAATTATGGCCCGTGGCAAGTCAGCAGCGCTTCCACTAATATGAATAATCAAAATGAAATCAATGACAACAGCATGTGGCCCATGCTTTGGAGAGCATCATCTGATGAACAATTTACCCAAGAGGCGGCCAACCGCTGGGAAGAGAGTAATTGAGATCTGGAAGAGCGGGCTGGGGGAAGGCGTAGGGGCCTCACCCCACACGGGGCAGGCTGCCAGCCGAGGGCCTCTTGGGTTGCAGCTGCTCCATCCCAGTCCCTTGGGAAGAGGCGGAGAGCTTCATCTACACAGTCTAAGCCTGAGCCACGGTAGGGCCCTTCTATTTTCCTCTGTCATGAACTGAACTGTGTCCCTGACCAAATCCATAGGTTGAAGCCCTAACCACCAATGTGACTGTATTTGGAAACAGACTTTTAAGGAGGTAATTACGGTTAAGTGAGGTCACATGGGTGGGACCCTATCCCAGCAGGACTGGTGTCCCTATAAACAGAGGAGGAGACACCAGGAGTGCCCATGCAGAGAGAAATGGTCATACGAGGACACAGTGAGAAGGTGGCTGTCTGCAACCCAGGAAGAGAGGCCCTACCAGAAACCAACCTCAATGCCCCTTGATCTTAGGCTCCCAGCTTGCAGACTGTGAGACAATCCATTTCTGTTGTTTAAGCCCCCAGTCTATGGCACTCTGTGAGGGCAGTGTCTTGGTCTGTTTTGTGCTGCTACAACAGAATACCGCAGACTGGGAAATTCATAAAGAACAGAAATGTATTGGCTTATAGTTTTGGAGGTTGGGAAGTCCAATACCAAGCTGCCAGTGACTGGTGAGGGCCTCCTTGCTATGTCATTGCATGGTGGAAGGGTGAAGAAAAAGAATCCATTCCCAGGAACCCTAAGTATAGCAGTTAAACATCTCCCATGGGGCCCCACGTCCAGACACAGTTGCACTGGGAATTCAATTTCAACATGAGTTTTGGAGGCCGAATAATACACTCCGCATGGGGCCTCAGGCCTCCCCCATCCTCAGGCTCTCTGGCTAGAGTCCACACCCACCCTGCTCTATGCACTGCACACTTTTGCATGTGTGTTTGTACAGGTGTGTGCATAGGTGTGCATGTATAGATCTGTGTACATATAGGTGCGTGTATAGGTGTGGGTGTATCGGTATGTGTGTATATAGATGTGTGTATAGGTGTGTGTGTATAGGTGTATATCAGTGTGCATAGGTGTGTGGGTGTGGATATAGGTGTGTATAGGTGTGTTTGTGTGCATAGGTGTGTGTTTGTGTGTATAGGTGTGTTTGTGTGTATAGGGGTGTGTGTGTGTGTATGTGTGTGTACAGTTCAAGGGGTTCTGACATCAGGGGCTTTCCAGAATGCCTCTCTCCTTTACTACTCCGGAGGTTACTCACTGCAACCTCCGACCCCTGGGTTCAAGCAATTCCCATGCCTCAGCCTCCCGAGTAGCTGGGACTACAGGTGAGCGCCTTGGCTGCCCCTTCACCAGGGGCTGGTGACTATGCAGGAAACTCAGGGTCCTGGGGCTGGGCCACATGCTGTCATCCTAAGCTGGATGCCCAGTTTCCTCTCCTGCCCTCCCTGACTTCGCAGGTGCTGGGCTGTCTCAGCGGGGCCAGGCCTTGCTGGCTGGGGCCTTAGTGGGCAGAAGCTCCCAAGTCCCTGGCTCCCCGCTTAGGATTTCCTCACTTCGGGGTCAGGTCAGTTGTCACTCATCTGGCCAAACCACCCAGACCAGGGCAGAAGAAACTCTTCCTTGAGCCTCCCACAGGAGGAACTTGGAGGCAGGGCCTGATGGGGACCCGCTCTTGGAAAATCACAGCAAGCAGGAGAGGAAGGAGGAAGGAAACCTGGGAGGTCGCTGCAAGGAGGACGTCTCAGCAACGTGGCGTCCAAGCCTGGGCGCTGGGGCTTCCTTGAGGCATGCGCTGGCCTTGTCATGGCAGCAGGCTTTGTGCCTGGCTTGGGGCGCATTTGGGGGGAATTTCGACAAAAACCAAAAGAACCTAAGAAGGGTTCATTCCAGACTGTCCAGGATGTGTGTGGGAGCAACGCTTGGCTCCATGACAGGGCCTCCTCACTTGGGGTGTGGTGGGGGTGGGGAGAGGACCCCCGAGGGACGGCAGGGGGTGGAGGGGCATCTTCATCTTGGCTGTCTTTCATTCCTGACGTGGCTGTCCCATGTGGTGGTGGGGCTTTCCCAAAGGGGAGGGAACACCTCCAAGTGCAATGCCCTGTGCTGGCCACACGGGAAGAAGGGGCCAGAATTTAGAAACAGCGGGAGACAGGGTGGCAGCACCATGCTGGCCTGGGGTCAGAGCCCCAAGTGGCCGCAGCTCTTTCCCTCACACACTGTGTGATCTTATAACAAGATCTTTGATTCCTCTGGCTCTTAGTTTCTTCATCTGGAAAGTGGGTGCCTCTTGCCGGTTCACCTGACTGTATGCCATCGGGCCCTATCCAGGTGGCCCCACCCCTGGATTCTGATGTGATGGCATCCACAGGAGATCTGCCCGGGCCAGGGTGGAAAGCTGCATGAGAGGGGAAGCCCTCTGCTCTGCAGTCCTGCCTGGAAGACTTTGGAAAGGAATTGGACGAGGAGACAGAGAGAACTCCAGACGTCTGCCTTAGCTCCTGGTGGCCCCCAGAATGCGTGAGAGCCAGCTACCTGCCCCCTTTGCTCTGTGGGGCAGTAACTCTTGGAAGGATGACAGGGCAAGGCCACCTGGAGCTTTGGCCACCATAGTTACTGCACAGGCAGCACCTGCTGGAATCGATACTTGGCCTTCCTTCACATGGGAAGAGATTTCTGGGTGCTGTGATGAGCGAGTGGCAAGGACAAGGGGCAGTGTCCTTTTCTGGAGGGCTGTGGGGGGTCCTGTCCTCCTCCTCCAACTGGGTTTGTCCAGTCTACCCACCTAGGTACCCCGCCACCCAAGAAAGACCCAGAAAGAGGGTGGCCATTTAACTAGTCAAGCCAGGTCACCCTGGGAGCCGAGAAAGGGTGCTGTGGTCATTTGTCCAGGTGCTGGCATAACCTGGGATGCCCTCTGGCAACCCTGCGTGTGTGGCTGCTCTCCTTATGAACCACGTGTCTCAGGCGGATGGGAGAGGGACTGGCCACGTGTCTCTCCTGCAGTGAATGGGGCCCCTTTGGAGTCCTCGGTGTTGTTGACACTAGGAGGCTGTCTCCATGGCGACAAGGTCAATGGGAAATGGCAGCCGGGTTGGTTTAATTTTCACTGTATTCTTGTTGACAGGAATAAAGGCCCTGCTTCTGATTTCTTGGTTCAACTGGATGAAATTTTCATTAGATTTAACTTCTCATATCCAGACACCCACATACTATTCAATTTCCCGATCTCACCGCTCAACTCTCATTCGTCTATTGGTCCTGAGGACAAAATTTTCAGAAATCTCATTTCGAGGAGCGCAGAGGCTGAGGGGGGACGGGATGGAGCGTGCGCCCGCCGCGTGCACGTGAGGGGACCTCTCTGCCATGTCCCCAGTGAGCCTGTCATTTCTGGGGCTCGCTGTTGGGGCATGACAGTCCTCCATCTGCCAGGGGGCATGGGCTTCGTCCCAGCATCACACACTCTGTGGAAAAGGCAGGGCTGGAGGTTCCAGCAGACTGCCAGGGTGTTGAGAGCTTAACCTTGCCGTATTCTTTCTTCTTGCAGGTGGGATGGACCTTGTCAATGAGGGGTAGGGAGAGGCACCATTCCAGCCTGGCCAGTGACTCCGTCATCAGGAAATACAGAGCATGTGGGGTGGCATGTCCTTTACCCCTGCCCCTGGCCTCACAGGAAATCTCCAAGGTGCTCAGCGACATACAAAGTGGTATCTTAGAGCCATCCCGAGGCTCTCGGAATCTTCCGATGTGCTAAGTGGCATTGTTACCAGGCTGGGAATTTTTTGCGTCGTGGGAGAAGTGTGAATGCACTAGGAGTGCTGGCCGCCTGGCAATGTCAGAGCCTCATGGTGATCTGCAGATCTGGGTGCATATGGCCTCTGGAATTCCCTTCTCCCCACTCTGTCCAAACTGCAGCCCCCTCCCCCGGGCACTGCTCAGGGCAGAGAGAGCAGGGAATGTGGGACTGATGAGCTTTTCCCCTGCCCCTCCAGGCCACTCGGAAAGAGGGGTGGGGACCAAGTGGGATTCTGGATGCTTCCATCTTGCTTCTGGTAAGATTGCTCTAGGGCCCTGGACTGAGGTTCCTCCTCGTGTGCTAGGAGGCAGCACCGCAGGAAGCCAGGCTCCGTCCACAGAGCAGCTGCCTCTGAGCTCCCAACTACCTGGCCCGGAGCCTTCCTTTTTTAAAGAGAGGCTGAAAATCTGGAGATCTGAATGTTGGCAACGAATTCTAATTTTGACAGAACCACTCCCTGGCACCTAGCAGGGCTCAGCATCAGCTCTGTGTAGCAGTCAGGACCTGGGACGTGGGTGGGGCCCTGTATCCCCAACACCAGCACAGGGATGAACTCCATGAAAGGGGGACTCCTGTCACAGAAGCGGCTGTGCGGCCTTGAAGCGGCCCCGGGCAGCAAGGTGCCGGGAGAGACAGGAAATCAAAAGCAGTATTTCTCTTCCAGTCCTACTCGGGGGCTGGATTGGCTCCACAAAACTAGCTGGAGTGAGACACCAACATTTGCAAAACAAACCTGGATCCTGGGAGCAAAGTAGGAAGCAAGCCCCACACTCAAGTCAGCCTCTCCGTGCCCACCCTCTGCTGTCCTCTGTGCCAAGTTGGAAGGGGGCTGCAGGCATTCCGGCAGGAGCCAGGAGGAGGGCTGGGACCCACCTGGAGATCCCAGGAACCTGCCCTGCCTGCTCCTCACGCCAGCAGCTCCTTCCCAGAGAGAAGGGTAAAAGGCAGAGGAAATGCTCTCCAGGAACCGCCAGCACTATCCCTGCCTCCCCCATGACTCCCAGGCCCTGCAGATGCAGGCAGGGAGCCAGGCCTCTGCTCTCAGGGACAGAGCTGCCATCCAGGCCCTCGGCCTGCCGTGGGGACACAGATGTGCTTCTTCTTATGCAACTCCACGATTTCTCACAAGTGCAAATCAACAAGTGTCTAGCAAGGCCCCACCATGTGCCGGCACCAACACCTCAGCTGCAAAAAAAGGAAACTTCTAGAGGCATATTTCTTAACCCAGAGTCTACAGAAAGTCCTCACGCAGTCCTGGAACATCCAGAAATGATACACCCAGTACTTAGTGCACGCCGGGGAGTGGCTTCCTCTGGGAGCGCGGCTAGACTAAGCTCCATGTGGCCTCCGATGCCTGCCCTCCTCCCACCCGGATGTGAGAACCAGCCAACGCCTGAGGAGGCCTGTGGCCCAAAGAGGTGCTGGTCCTGCTCTTGGCTGGCCTCTTGCCAGAGGCTGCTGTAGGCCAGGGTTTCTTAAAAAGTATGGTCTCCTGGGGACCCCAGGACAAGAACCTAGCTTCATAAAAAACTCAGGGTCTGAAGCCCACTCCAGACCCAGCGAGTCAGAATGTCTGGGGAAGGGCCTGCCTTTCAGCCCCATCCAGGTGGTTCTGAGGGGAGCCATTGTCTCTGCTCAGGCTTTCTGGGGCCTTGGTGGATTCCAGGGTAAGATTCTCGGCTCCCTCTGAGCCCCAGAACTGGGTGGCCTGGGGGGCCCGAGCTCACTCGTGACATTCAGCCATTTGCTCCTATCCCAGAAGTCTCTGCTCAGAGGTAAGGACCCTGGAACATGCTTCTAAGTGAACACTGCTGGCCAGAAAGAGTTCTAGCAACATCCCCTCTCTCTCCCACCCGGGAGACCCCCCAACTCCTTCCTGTGCCCACACCTGTAGCTCCACAGGGGAAAAGTCTTTGCAGCTCTCTTTTCTTCTTCATCTTCTTCTTCTTTTTTTTTTTTTTTTTTGAGGTGGAGTCTCACCCTGTTGCCCAGGCTGGAGCACAATGGTTCGATCTTGGCTCACTGCAACCTCTGCCTTCCGGGTTTAAGTGATTCTCCTGCCTCAGCCTCCCAAGTAGTTGTGATTACAGGTACCTGCCACCATTCCCGGCTAATTTTTGTATTTTTAGTAGAGACGGGGTTTCACCATGTGGTCAGGCTGGTCTCAAACTCCTGACCTCAGGTGATCCACCTGCCTCAGCCTCCCAAAGTGCTGGGATTACAGGTATCAGCCACCGTGCCCGGCCCTTTTCTCTGTCACCCAGGCTGGAGTGCAGTGGCACCATCTCAGCTCACTGCAGCCCTGAACTCCCCAGGTTCAAGTGATCTTCCCACCTCAGCCTCCCAAGTAGCTGGTGTGCACCACCACATCTGGCTAATTTTTCTATTTTTTGTAGGGCCAGGGTCTTGCCGTGTTGCCCAGGCTGATCTTGAACTCCTAGGCTCAAGTAACCTTCCTGCCTCAGCCACCCAGAGTGCTGGGATTACATGGGTGAGCCACCATGTCCGGTTATCTTTGAGACTTTCAGGCTGGCTGCTGTCCTTCCTCGATGGACTCTGGCTGAGCCTTGGGGATACCTGCTCCTAGTCAGGGTCAGAGCTCCCAGCCCACCGTCCCCAGCCAGCCAGGTGATGCTGGATCAGGATCGACTGAGCTGGAGAGGAAAAAAGGTGGGCACAGGCACCTCTCCCTAGGGTCTCCTGCTGCTAGTTCCAGCCCCAGCCCAAGCCCCACCACTCCAGAATTACAGAGCAGGTCCCCAACAGCTTCCCAGCACATCTCAGACACCAGGTCCAGAGGCAGGAGTGGGACAGGCCCCCGCCTGCAAGCTCCAGGTGGCCTGGGCCGGGGAGTCAGGCTTCCCGGGGCGCCCGTCTCCGAGCGGGTCCGCTGCCGCTGGCCACCAGGTGGCGCTGGTCGACCAGGAACGGTTCCGCGAGCCCCGGGAAGGAAGCCTTTGTTGATTTTCCTTCTTGATATTCTATAATCACCAGGATTACAATCTAAGCAAAAAACAAAACAAATAAACACAGCCCCCCCTTCTGGATCTTTGCTCTTTGTCTGAAAAATTATGAGAAAACAAAAGGCGCATTGAACATACAACCCCAGGCTTGGGTACTGGCAACAGCGAGGGCCTTCCACACAGAGGGAGGGAGGCTGGGGGCGGTCTGGGGATCCCGGGCTCTGCGACCTCTCCCAGTGTGAGCTGGGTCCCTGGAGAGCAGGTGCCGGCTCAGCAGTCGCTCTGAGCGGATTTCTCTGCCGCTGCAGCCACTGCTCAGCAATGAGGGGCTCCCGTTTGCAGCCAGCTAGCCCAGGCCCGGTCCTGGAAACGGTGTGGTGTCTGGGCAGCACCACCTTACAGGTGCTGAAGGCTGGCAGGGCTGACACCCTGGTCCCTGAGAAACCAACAGGCTGCAGGTGAGGACCAGCGTGTTAAGGGAGATGGACGGTGGGGGCCGTGACAGCAAAAGCAAGCCCACACTCGCCAGGGCATCCACCCAACTCAACAGGGCCTCCACTCACACTCACTAGGGCCTCCATCCAACTCACTGTGGCCTCCACCCTCACAGTCACCATGGCCTCGATGCAACTCACCATGACTTTCACCTTCACAGTCACCGTAGCCTCCACCCTCAGTCACCAGGGCCTCTATCTACCTCAACAGGGCCTCTGCTCACACTCACCAGGGCCTCCTCCCAACTCGCCAGGGCCTCCACCCAACTCACCATAGCCTCCACCTTCACAGTTACCATGGCCTCCACCCACACGCCAGGGCCTTCACCCTCACAGTCACCATGGCCTCCACCCACAGTCACCAGGGCCTCCATCCACCTCAACAGGGGCTCCATTCACACTCACCAGGGCCTCCACCCAACTCACCAGGGCTTCTACTCAACAGAGCCTCCACTAACACTCACCAGGGCCTCCATCCAACTCACCGTGGCCTCCACCCAACTCAACAGGGCCTCCACCCAAGGGGCCTCCACTCAACCCAACAGGGCCTCCACTAACACCATGGCCTCCACCCACTCATCAGGGCCTTCACACTCACAGTCACCATGGCCTCCACCCTCAGTCACCAGGGCCTCCATCCACCTCAACAGGGCCTCCACTCACACTCACCAGGGCTTCCACCCAACTCAACAGGGCCTCCACTCACACTTAGTATGGCCTCCATCCAACTCATCGTGGCCTCCACCCAACTCAACAGGGCCTCCACTCAACTCACCACGGCCTCCACCCAACTCACCATAGCCTCCACTCTCACAGTAACCACGGCCTCCACCCAACTCACCATAGCCTTCACTCTCACAGTAACCATGGCCTCCACCCAATTCACCAGGGCCCCCACCAAACTCACCAGGGCCTTCGCCTACACTCACTATGGCCTCCACCCCACACTCAGGATGGCCTCCACCTCCACTTTCAACATGGCCTTTGTGGCCTCACATTTACTATGGCCTCCACCTCCTACCATGGAGGTGAGGTTGCTTTTGGAGGAACCGTGGAGGTGGAGGCGCTGAATCCCCACGCACTTGTGCCTGTGGATACATCATGTGCCCGTGCAGAAGCATGGAGGTGCATGGAGCACTTGTGTGGTGTGCGTGCAGGGTGGGTGCAGGCCCTGGGACTCTGCTGACTCCACAGCCAGCCCTCCTGCTGCCCGCCCAGTGATGCAGAGGACACCTGCCCCAGAGGCCTGAGCACTCTGGCCTGACGCCAGCGGAGCTCTGGGGTGGGCGAGCAGGGTGGAGCTAAACCCGGAGGCGGCTGCGGGAGCTGCCTGCTGATCTCCAGGCCTTCGAAGCCTGCAGGAAGGCCCAGGCCTTGCTCATGGCTGCAGGGCCATCTGTCCAGCCAGGGCACTCCAAGAGGAGCCTCCAGGCGGTAGAGCTGAGACAAGATCACCACACGGGAAGGGCTGTGAACATAGCTTAAAAGTCATGCCCTCACCACTCACTCCGGATGGAACAACCTCACCAACAGCTTGCTGGGAAATGCCTGGTGTGCCATCCCCTCCTGGGCTGCCAGGAAATGGGCAGGGAAGAAAGCCACGGGTGCCCAGAGGGAGTGGATCTTCTCCGAGAAAACGGTTCCATCTGGCTTTCTGTAGGTTCCAGTGGAGCTGAGGGTGCAAGGTTTGGGGCATGGCAGTTTAGAACCACGGTGGCTCTGAGCAGCCCACGATCACTGAGCAAGTTTCCTGCCAGCTTGGCAGGACAGAAGCACAGAGCCCTGCCTGGCAGAGCAGTCGACTCCACTCAAAGTCGTCTCTCAGTGGCAGATCTGGGAGGAGAGGACTCCCCCTCCAGCTCCTCACTCACACGGTGGGGGTTTACTGGGTGCAAATCTGGTGCTCTCTCAGACCAGCTGCATTGGAACAGACCCCGGAATTTCCAGGATGAGACATACTAAGCTTTAGATCACTTGTGTACTATAAACTCCAGGCCTCAGACGGCGCCCCAGACAGTCATTGCCAGGCCTTGGACTGAAATGAGGAATTCTGTGCACTATGAGTCAGAAAGCTGAAGCCCATAGGGGCACCCCTGGCTGAGCGCAGCTCTACTCAGCTCTGAATGACTCACATGCAGAACCTCTTTCCCCAGAGTATGTTAGGA